CTCCCAAAATGCTGGGATTACAGGCATGAGCCACCACACCTGGCCTATTGGCTTTTTGACTTTGCCTCATTGCATTGTTTTTTTAGTGGTTACTTGACAAATTGCAATACACATGCTTAAGGCAGAGTTAATCTTGCCAGGCACGGGGGCTCACCACTTGTAATCCTAGCACTTTGGGAAGCCAGAGGATTGCTTGAGCCTAGGAGTTTGAGATCAGCCTGGGCAACCCTATCTGTACAAAAAGAAAAAAAAAATACAAAAATCAGTTTGGTGTGGTGACAAGCACCCTATTCCTAGCTGCCTCAGGAGGCTGAGGCAGGAGGATTGCTTGAGCCCAGGAGTTCAAGGCTGCAATGAGCCATAATCCTACTGCTACACTCCAGCCTGGGCAATACAGCAAGACCCTGTCTCATGACAAAAAAAGAGTTAATCTTATGCCATTTCTTGTTGAATGTAAGAACTTTGCAATCACATAGAAGCATTTATCTCCCCTCCCTCATCCTTTAAGGCAGGTTTTCTCAACCTCAGCACTGCTTACATTCTGTGTGTGGGGCTATCACGAGCACTGCAGGAATTTGGGCAGCCTTCTGGGCCCCCACCCACCAGACGCCAGTGACGTAGCTCCTTCTAGGGTGACAGAACATTTCTCCAGGCATGACCAGATGTCCGTTGGGGGCAGAAGCACCACAGGTGTGAGAACCCCCACTCTGAGGTGCAGATCTCCTGGTGTTTCATCTGCCTTTGTTTTAAACCCACCAGGCAACATTGTGATTTTTCACTTTAAGCAGTCATATGTATTTTAAAGAAATTAAGTAAGGCCGGGTGCAGTGGCTTATGCCTATAATCCTAGCACTTTGGGAGGCCAGAGTGGTTGGGTTGCTTGAGGTCATGTCATACGCCTGTAGTCCCAGCTAGTCAGGAAGGCTGAGGCACAAGAATCTCTTGAACTTGGGAGGCGGAGGTCGCAATGAGCCAAGATCGCACCACTGCACTCCAGCCTGGTGGACAGAGCTAGACTCCATCTCAAAAGAAATTAAAAGAAAAAAAAATTATACTTTTCTTTAGATTTACTGTTCCTAGTGGTCTCTATCCCTCCCTAAAGAAGAGTTTCTCTCTGGTGTTACTTCCTTTCCACTGAAAAAACTTTCTTTGGAATTTCCTATAATCTAGGTCTGCCCAGTGACAGTTTCTTTTACCTGCAAATGTCTTTATTCAGTTGTAACTGTCAACTGTGAGCCGACAGTTACATCTGAGTTGTAGGGACCTCAGTTATGGTGGCTCTCACAGGACTACTTAATTTAAAAAAATAAAAAAAAAACTACAGCTAGTTATGTGGGAGGGACCCGTGTGTCCAGCCGTATTGCTTGTGGAGCAATGGCTTTTTAGTTCTTTTCAAGCGTTTTCATATTCCACTAGTATCTCTGGGGCAGGTGCTGATTGCCAGACACTGTTCTGGACTCTGAGGACATGTTGGTGTGCTGCTCCCTCTGTCCCTCCCAGGGGCACTTAAATTTAACTGGAAGGAGGTACAAAATTAGAACATAAGCAGTTAAAAAGGTAAGAATTTCAGAGTATAAGAAATACAAGTAAAGACAGAGACGACTGGGTGAAGTGGTAGGTGCAGCTGCCGCTCTAGTTGGAGTGGTCGGCAAAGGCCTTTGAGCTGACTAAGACGGAACCGGTGATCATTGAGTGAGGGAAAAGCATTCCATGCAGAAGGAAGAGTAAGGACAACAGCCCAGAGGATAACATGGAAAGGCTTTGGAGGGTCATCTACATGAAGGGACATTATTAAATTACTAATAATACTGAATGCTTTTTGTTGTTGTCGTTTGTTTTTTGAGATGGAGTCTCACTCTGTTGCCCAGGCTGGAGTGTGATGGCATCATCTCAACTCACTGCAGCCTCCGCCTGCTGGGTTCAAGCAGTTCTCCTGCCTCAGCTTCCCGAATTACTGGGATTACAGGCACGCGCCACCACACCCGACTAATTTTTGTATTTTTAGTTGAAATGGGGTTTCACCATGTTGGCCAGGCTGGTCTCAAACTCCTGACCTCAGGTGATCCGCCCGCCTCAGCCTCTGGGATTACAGGCGTGAACCGCCGCACCTGACCAGTGCTGAATGCTTTATATCCCATGGTACGTTTCATTCCCACAAGAACCAGCGGGTACTGTTCCCTCTCCCAGAGCAAGAAGCCCAGTGGCCAAGGCCCAGAGAAATGGCGGTGCTTCATGCAAGGTCAAAACAGGATTCATACCCAGACAGCCTGGGCTCCAGAACTTCGTGCTAGCCACATCCAGCATTGCCTCCAGGAATCAGGTCTAGGTCTTACAGGCTCCTCTAGGGCCAGAGAGACTGAGCCATCTTTTTTTTTTTCAGGTATACAAAAGAGCCAAGGCGCTGGACCAGTCCGACAACGATATGTCCGCCGTGTACCGAGCCTACATACACTAAGCCGTCAACACCCCACGCCCAGCCCTCCAGTTCCCCCTGACCGCCTCTTCCTCACATGGGGTTGGGGTCCTGGGACTTCATTCTGGACCAGCCCGCCTGTCTCCATTTCCTTTTATACAGACTTTAAGACTTGCCATCAGCACAGCACACAGCAGCACCCTTCCCATGAGGCCAGTGGGGAGGGGACGAGTGTCAGCAGGATTGGCTTGTGGGAATGCTCTTGAGCTGGGCACTGGCCCCCAGACAAGGTGGCTGTGTGTTCACACACACACGCACACACACATACACACACAGGCTCTCACCCCAGGATAGACGCTGCCCAGAAACTGCTGCCTGGCTTTTTTTCTTCCAAGCTTGTCTTATCTCAAACCCCTTCCAGTCAACGAACTAGAATCAGCAACAAGATTTGGAAGCCTTCCCATAGCTTCCCCCAGAGCGAAGAGGCTGTAGGTGTGTCCACGTCCCCCACTGGATCCCCTGCAGGAAGAGGCCTTGGGCCCAGATGAGCCAGCACAGACTCCAGACGGAGGGTCCCATGAGGCCCCCCAACCTCAGGTGATGATCTGAGAAAGATGTTCACGTCTAAGCGTCCAGTGTGCCCCCAGCGCTCCATAGACGCCTTTGTGAACTGAAAAGAGACTGGCAGAGTCAAGAAGATGGGGCCCTGGCTTTCCAGGGAGTGCAGCAAGCAGCCGGCCTGCAGGTGAGCACGGAGGCCCGGCCCTCACCGCCTCGAAGCAACGCCCCAAACACCACTGTCACAGAGGGCGTTTGCTCCTCTCTGGGCTGTTCTAGTATTTGGATTTGCATTCCAGCCCTTGGGAGGGGGTCCTCAGGGCCACTAGTGAGGAGCCAAGAGGAGTGGGGGTTGGGGGCGCTCCTTCCTGTTTCCGTTAGGCCACATACTTCACCTGGCTCTGAAGAGCCGATCTGACCTTGGTCCCCTCCCAGTGGTCCCCCCTTCTCCAGTCTGCCCTGCCAAGTCCCCTGCATGCCCACTGCTCTCTGTCCTCCCTCTTCCCCATCTTCCTCCTGTGGAGACAGTATTTCTTTCTGTCTGTCTGTCCCTTCTTTGGCCCAGACCCAGCCTGACCAACGATGAGCATTTCTTAGGCTCAGCTCTTGATACGGAAACAAGTGTCTTCACTCCAGCCAGCGTCATGGTCTTCGGTGCTTCCCGGGCCCGGGGTCTATCGGGAGGGAAGAGAACTGGGCCTGACCTACCTGAACTGACTGACCCTCTGAGGTGGGTCTGGGACTTCCTTGAGGCCCTACCTTGGATAGGGGACCAGAGGGGGTTTGGGATGTTGCAAAAAAACAAGGAGAAGTCACTCAAAGGATGTCAGTTTTTTAACCCTCTGCATGGGTTGGATTTTCTAAAATCATAATTTGCAGAAGGAACGCTAGCATTTATGGTGGAAAATATAATTATATATAAGGCGGCCAGACTGGGGCGGCGTCCCTCCCCCCTCACGGATTTGGCCCCTTTTCACAGATTAAAACCTGGGTTGGAGGATTGCAGAAGAGGAGTGGGGGAGGGCAGGGAAGACGCCTGTTGGGTTTTTAGCACAGTTCATTTCACTGGGATTTTGAAGCATTTCTGTCTGAACACAAAGCCTGTTCTAGTCCTGGCGGGACACACTGGGGGTGGGGGTGGGGGAAGAGGCGGTAATGAAACTGGTTAGTCAATGTTGTCTTAATATTGTTGACAATTCTGTAAAGTTCCTTTTTATGAATATTTCTGTTTAAGCTATTTCACCTTTGTTTTGAAATCCTTCCCTTTTAAGGAGAAAATGTGACACTTGTGAAAAAGCTTGTAAGAAAGCCCCTCCCTTTTTTCTTTAAACCTTTAAATGACAAATCTAGGTAATTAAGGTTGTGAATTTTTATTTTTGCTTTGTTTTTAATGAACATTTGTCTTTCGGAATAGGATTGTGTGATAATGTTTAAATGGCAAAAACAAAACATGATTTTGTGCAATTAACAAAGCTACTGCAAGAAAAATAAAACATTTCTTGGTAACACAGCTGTGCTGCGGGGGTCCTGCATTCCTCGCCCTCGGCGAGATGGATGGGAGGGGAGGGCCCGCGGGCCGGTTGGAGGGCAGCGGTGGGACAAGGGTGGGCTTTCGGGACCTCAGCCTCCGAGGGAGACTGACCTGCGAGTGGCGACGAGGTCCGCAGCGGGACGGGAACAGCGACCTACTGAGCCAAGTGGGCCAATAGGGAGGCTAGGCAGGGACAGACTGCCCTGCAGGCCAATCAGCGCGGGTGAAGCAGAGCAACCCCTCCCCCCCATCAGGTGGGGACCCGGGCCAGAGGCCCCAGCCCTCCGCCCCTGAGTGGTCGTCCCTACGGCGCCGCAGGCTGGTGCGGGCAGCGCCCCTAGGCCGTCCGGAGCGAGCCAGACTCGCTCAGCAGCCAACCTTGTTCCTGAGCGCCCGCAGGTCTCGTGATCCGAGGCGGCCGGAAGGCGCCGGCCAATCGCGAGCACGGAGCCTGTCCAGGGGCGGGGCCGGCGCCCGCTCAGCCAATTGGGGCGGAGGCGGAGTCGGACGCTGGGGGCGGACGCGAATACTGGAGGACCCTAGCAGCGGCCCGTGGGGACGGCGCTCGGCTGCGGCCTCCGGCCATGGCCACCGTAATGGCAGCGACGGCGGCGGAGCGGGCGGTGCTGGTGAGGCGCGCGGGCTGGCGGGCGGGCTGTCAGGGCGGCGGGGCCGGGCGTGACCGCCGTGGCTGTTGCGCAGGAGGAGGAGTTCCGCTGGCTGCTGCACGACGAGGTGCACGCGGTGCTGAGGCAGCTGCAGGACATCCTCAAGGTAACGGTCCGCGTCCTGGCCCGCCGGGCGTGGCGGCCCGCCCTCATCTCCCTGGCTCCTCGGGCGCCCGGAGGTTGCGTCCTGAGCGCCTACTGCGTGCGGCCGCTGCCGCTTTTCGGCAAGCCCCCGCCTCCGGGAACTCGAGCCGACCTCGTTACACAAGCACCTCGGTGCGGGCAGGGGCGCGTCCTGGCGGGGGGATGAGCAAGGGCCGCCTTGAGAGCAGCGGCATCCAATCTGGGAGTCGACGAATTCTGCCTCTGCCCGGCAGTGGGACCTCAGCCAAGTCACTCAACCTCTCTGGGTCTCCCTTTTCTCATTTGCAAAAATAGAGATGACAGTACCCGCTTCGCGGGGCTGTGGTGTAGATAAATGAGCCAGGCAGCTCACAGAAGTAACCGGCGCAGTGCTTGCTGAGGCTCAGGACCGCGGGTTACCATGACTACTGCCTTGTTCCCCGACTCTGTGCCTCTCCTCCTCAGCCAAGCTCTGAGGCTGCCCCTGTGTGTCCTGTAGTCCCCGAGGTGGGCACACAGGAGGTGTTCAGGGAATGTGGGATAAGCAGAGATCGGGCTCATGACGAGGTGCCCTGGAGGCTTGGGCAGGGTCTTCCCACCCCAGCTGAACCCAGGTGAGACTAGGCCACCTTGTTCCTTATCCCCCTGACTTGGAGGGAGGGGGACTTCTAGAAGAAGCACTGGGCCGGGCCTGGGTGAGCACTACCAGCTCCCCTCTTCCCCTCTGTCCCGCAGGAGGCCTCTCTGCGCTTCACTCTGCCAAGCTCAGGCACTGAGGGGCCCGCCAAGCAAGAGAACTTCATCCTAGGCAGCTGTGGGTGAGCCTGGGCTGGGCAGAAACCAGGGAAATGGTCTCCTTGGGCTGGGAGACTCCTTGGGTGTAGGAGGCATGGCCACAGCCCTGTCCTGCGGACCAGTTGGGTGTGCGGTGGGACAGGAGGGGCCAGCCAGCCGGGAAGGTGGGCTGGGTGGTGGGGGTGTGGACGCAGGTACTGCTCTGACGCCACATGTTACAGCACAGACCAGGTGAAAGGCGTGCTGACTCTGCAGGGGGATGCCCTCAGCCAGGCGGTGAGTCCCCCGGCCCTGTCCCCTCCCATCCCGCCAGCGGGGAAGAGCATGGGGGCTCCCACTTTCTATGCAAGCTCTGGGACTCTGGGTGGGACCCTTGGTCTCTCTGGCCTCAGTTTTCTCCTTTGGAAAACGACAGCAACCCCCACACCTCCTCCAGGGATCAGCGTGCACATTCAGTAAGAGGTTCAGGAGGGGAGTTCTTCCCACACAGCCTGGTCTGACATCTGGACCCAGTGAAGCATGGGCATTGGCAGATTAGGCTGGCCACACCTCATATTTGAATCAGCCAACGCCTGAGCTCTGGTCTGCACCCAACCCTGTGCCAGGCAGCAAGGCGCAGGGGGGGCCCCCCTCCTAGGCTCCATCTGTTGGCCTTTGTAGACACTAGACGCACTCCATTCACACCAGGCCTGACAGAGGCTGCCTTCTGCTTTCCCCTTTCCCCTTCCCCTATCTCCACCTCTTTCCATTTCACGTTTTTTTTTTGTTGTTGTTGTTTTTTTTTTTTGAGATGAAGTTTCACTCTTGCTGCCCAGGCTGGAGTGCAATGGCAAAATCTCAGCTCACTGCAACCTCCTATGCCTCCCCAGTTCAAGCGATTCTCTTGCCTCAGCCACCCAAGTAGGTGGGATTACAGGCATGCTCTACCACGGTTGGTTATTTTTGTATTTTTCATAGAGACAGGGTTTCTCCATGTTGGTCAGGCTGATCTTTGAACTCCCAACCTCAGATGATCCGCCCACCTTTGCCTCCCAAAGTGCTGGGATTACAGGCGTGAGCCACATGCCCTGCTCCATTTCACTTCTTTGTGGCTCCTCTTGGGCCTGATTTCCTGTTTCCTGACCTCCCTGTTCACCCCCCAAATGGCCAAGGCATCCAGAGACCCTCTGCCCTACAGAGCAGCTGAGGCCTGAGCTGCCACACGCACCATTTCTGCCCCAGGCTCAAGGGCTCAGAGTGGCTGTGGCAGGAGGTATCCCCCTGCCCGGCTCATCCCACTCTTGCCTGTCAGGACGTGAACCTTAAGATGCCCCGGAACAACCAGCTGTTGCACTTCGCCTTCCGGGAGGACAAGCAGTGGAAGCTGCAGCAGGTGACCCCGCCTCTCCCTGGCCAGTGCTCAGCCACAAGGACAGGTGGCAGCAGGCCCGCCTTGGGGCCTCCCTAAAGAGGGATGGGCCCTGGGGATCTGCAGCCACAGCAAGTCTGGGAGGGTGTTTCCTAGCAGCACAGCCGGGGACAGGCGTTGCCTGAAGCGCTGGAGCGTGGGCCATGTGGGAAGGTGGAGAACTTGGCCTGAGGGCCACATCAGGACTGCGAATCCCCACAGCAGCTGGTGGGATGGGATGATTCAGAAGCCCTCTGAAAAGTTACTCCCTTGCCCAGAGCCTCTAGGGATTTGCCATGGCTCTGGGGACGAGGTCCGTGCTCCCTGGCAGCTCCTGTGCCATTGGGCCCTGCCTCTTTCCCCTGCCCCCTCCGCCCGACTGTCTCCATTTCAGGACCCTTGCCTCTGCCCACGTCATCCTATTTGCTTCCTTTTGCAACTCACACAGATTCTTGTCTTGGGCACTACTGTCTTGTCCATCCCTTAGAAAGTGAGCCACACTAGGGCAGAGACTGGGTCTGCCCCAGGTGATGCCAAGTACCCTTCCCCTGGCGCAGACATGGCCCTCTGGGGCACAGAGATGACAGTGTAGAGAATGTAATGACCTGGGGCAGATAGGCAGCACCCACCCTCCCTTCCTGACCACATGGAAGCTGGAGTGACCCCACTGAATGATCCTTGCTTCCAGATCCAGGATGCTAGAAACCATGTGAGCCAAGCCATTTACCTGCTCACCAGCAGGGATGAGAGCTACCAGTTCAAGACGGGCGCTGAGGTCCTCAAGGTGAGCTGCCCCCAGACCTGACTCCTGGAAAGCACTGGCCCCCTGGGCCTAGTCCCGTGTCCTTGATCCTGATTCAGACCCAGGTTCCAGTCCCAGGGCCTCCACTTCAAGCTGTGCAATCTCTAGGCACTTACTTGTCTACTCTGTGTCTCTATTTTCTACCTATGGGGTGGGGGGCCAGCTGGAGTGACTGTGATAATTCAGGTCATGGGGCCTCCAGTGAGCACTTAGCACACCCTGCTGCCACCAGCAGCAGTGAAAGCCTTCACATTAACCACGTGGCACGTGTGAAGAGCTGACCCAGGCGCCTGGCCTCATCCTTGAGCTCTGCCCCTGACGTGGTGTGTGTCCTCTGGTGGCTCACCTGCCCTCTCTGGACCTCTGGTTCATCATACTTGGAACCAGATAGACTGAGGACTGTTCGAGAACTATGACCACCCTGGGGTGGTGCAGCCCCCATGCCTCCAGTCAGCTCTTGTGTGTTTCCTGAGAGCCACATCGCCCCCAGTACCCATGGCCACAGCTGGATGGCATGGAAGCTGGGGCTCTGAGAAGTCTGCCCAGGCTCTGCTCTATGGCAAAGACAAAGTATGGGCTCCACGTGGTCCCACCATCCACCAGCTGTGACCCTGCCTCGCCACCCTGAAAACCTCAACCCAGCCATCCCATCACCTCCTCCAGGAAGCCCTCTCTGGCCTTTCACAGCCAAATTTTGTTGCCCGTACCCCTGTCTGCAAAGCCTGTGCCCCTGGGACTGACCTCCCAGGACCTTCCATTCCCCATTGATCCAGCGTCTGGCACCCCCATGCAGTGAATCAGCCCCATCCTGATGACATTAGTACAGACATCCTGCCCTCCCCCATGCCCAGCTGCAGTCCAGCTACCCGTCTTTAACAGGCCCCTGCTGCTGGGGTTCCGGCCCTGGGAACCATGGCGACTAGGCGGGAGTAGGAGCTACCTTATCTGCTGTTCCCTGATGCGTGGGCGCACAGGAGGAAGCAGAGCCAACCCCGCCCCTCCCCACAGCTGATGGACGCAGTGATGCTGCAGCTGACCAGAGCCCGAAACCGGCTCACCACCCCTGCCACCCTCACTCTGCCCGAGATCGCCGCCAGCGGCCTCACGGTCAGTGCCCCTGCTTGAGGAGAGGGTCCCTGCAGCGGGGCCCAGCTTGCCCACAGGATGGACACAGGGGGCCACCCCCCAGATAGTAGCTAGAATTCTATCTAGGCGGTTTTCTTGGATGGGGTTCTTGGCTTCCGTCCTTTGCCCCCAAAATATGTTAACCCTGTTTGGGTCTGTGCTTCCCAAATCTGGTGGCACAGGAAGGTACTTGGGGCACCTGGGAAAAGCCTGGAAGAACATCCCTGGGGTGGACACTGGGGTCCCCTGCAGACTCCATGACTGACCACAGAGCCCCACTCCACCCAGCCTGGGTTGGGGGCTTGGGAGGGCCTCATCCCACCTGCCTCCTGCAGCGGATGTTCGCCCCTGCCCTACCCTCCGACCTGCTGGTCAACGTCTACATCAACCTCAACAAGCTCTGCCTCACGGTGTACCAGCTGCACGCCCTGCAGCCCAACTCCACCAAGGTGAGGAGAGACCCCTGCCCTCCTGCTGCCCCCCATGCCCACACCCTGTGCGGCCTGACAGCTCTGGTGCTGTTCTGCCTAGAATTTCCGCCCCGCCGGAGGCGCAGTGCTGCACAGCCCAGGGGCCATGTTGTAAGTAGGCAAGGGAGGGAGGTCCAGGCACGGCCACCCAATCCCGCTGCACCTGGAGGGCTGGGCTCTGACTCAGGGACCCTCCTCTCACCGCCCACAGTGAGTGGGGCTCTCAGCGCCTGGAGGTGAGCCACGTGCACAAGGTGGAGTGTGTGGTCCCCTGGCTCAACGACGCCCTGGTCTACTTCACCGTCTCCCTGCAGCTCTGCCAGCAGCTCAAGGACAAGGTAGGGCCCTGGCGAGCACCTTCATTAGGGGAAGGGCTTCTAACGGTCCTTGGCACACCCTCAGAGCACCCGACCTTGGAGTCTGGTGTACCCCCACAGTGAGGAGGGGTTCTGAGGGCCCTGCCATACCCTAAGAGCACCCCAACATTGGGGTCTGGTGTACCCCCACAGCACCGCTAGGCAGCAGTGCCCAGTCCTGACCCATTGCCCTTGGGTGACCTTGACATCTCACTTGGACCACCCATGCCCTGCATCCAGCCACTCACCGAACCCTCCCCTTGCAGGTCTCTGTGTTCTCCAGCTACTGGAGCTACAGACCCTTCTGAGCACAGCGCCCAGGAGCCTGTCCTCAGGAAGATGACCCAAGTCCCTACTGAAACCCGCGCCAGCACCAGCCAACGCCAGGCTGCTGTTTATCTCCCATACCGCACCCCTCCCCCACCTAACACATTTGCACTGCTGGGAGCAGACACTGGAAGTGCCAGGAGGAAGGGAGGCTGGTCTGGTGGGGTGTTGGGGGAGGTCAGGAAGGTGGGGCTGAGAGGGTCCCATATTCCCAACCCCGCCTTCCTGGTCACTGTGGGAATCTTTGAACTCAGGGCAGGGCCAGGCCCAGGGCTCTCCTTCCTCTCCCCTTCACTGTCCCCTCCCCCTGGAGGGCATAGGTTAGGTGGTGGCACTGAGCTATGAGTCCCAGGGGACGGGCAGGAACAGTGCAGACAGAGCCACCCAGGAGCGAATGTAGCGCTGGTGCCTGTGTGTTCCACAGCCCCGACCCAGGATCCTCTAAGAAATAAAGATTATCAGACTCTAACTGGAGCCCCTGTCTGTCTGTCTGAGCAGGGACCCAGGCTGGGGGTCCCTGGTGGTCAGTGGCCTTCAGCTTCAGGAGCTGGCAGTCTCCCCTCTTCCCAGAGCCTGGCTTCCCTGCTCCCTATGCCAGGACTGGACACAGAACCCACCTTCGAGAGAAGACCCTCTAGCTGCCAAGAGACCCCAGCGTGGTGACAAGAGCTCCACCTGGGAGTTGGAGCCGCTGAGTCTGAGACCAGCTGCCTCCCAGCTAGGTGAGCCAGGATGACCTGGCACAGTTGTGCCAGCCGAAGGCTTGGAGGGGCCAGATGGGCACCTGAGTGGGGCAGCAAGTCCCATGTCACCCACCCAGATGGGCTGGAAGACACTGCAGACTCAGACTTTGGGCAGACAGAAGGCTTTGTTACTGCCAATGGGCAGGACACACAGGGTCAGGGTTCCAGGGCCAAGTTATCTACTCCCTTAGGTCTTTCCTGCAAGAGAAGCACAGAGGAACCCAGCAGGTTCGCTCCTTGTTCCCTAGGAGGGGCAAGCCCCCTTTCCACCACCTCCCCCATCCCCCTGCTCCACCCCTTCACCCCCCTCCACCCCTTCACCCCCCTCCTCCACCCCTATTACAGTTCCGTGCAGGTCCCCTAGCACCCAGAGGCCAGCAGGGCTCACCTTCCAGGGGCTCACCTTCCTGGGGCTTTCCCTGTGGGGCCTGGGGGAGCCGCAGCAGCTGCAGCAGCAGCAGTGGGCAATGACCAGCAGCAGCAGGAGCAGCACAGTGCCTGGGGACAGGACAGGTGTCTAGATGTAGCCCCCAACCTGGGACCTGGGCAGGGGTCTGGTGGGGCCCGGAGGCTGCAGCCACACTTACCCACGAAAGTGAGGAAGACAATGAAGGAAGCGGTGTCCCATGTGGACTGGAACAGCTGGTGGCTCTTTAGTCTCCCCAGGACTTCCTGAACTGTGGCCTCCACCTCCTCCGTGGACACAGACATCTTGGCGTCCACAGTGCCGCCTGCCCTGGCCCCCAGAGGCTGCATCAGAACCCTGGGCTTGGCTCAGTGGGGACCACATCCAGGTCTCCCAGAGCCCAGCGTCTGCCCACTCCTGGCCCAGCGCCAGCTTCCCTGCCACCTCCCACTCCCTTGGTCCTAGGCCCAGCCTCTCTCCTTGCCCAGCCCTGTGGTCCCTACCCCGACCCCAGCATGAACAACCTTCTCTCCAGCCACTGTCTCCTCCCTTTCCCACTGGCAGCTCAGCCCCCAGACCCCTCACCTACCTCCTAAAGCCTCCAACTGCCCCCAGCCAGGCAGGTCCTAGGTCCTGGGCTGCTTCCTGCTTCCGGCTCTACACCACCTGAGGCCTTGGCAACCAGCCCCGCCCTCCCCAGGCCAGGAGAGGCCGCCAAGCCCAGGGGAGAGGGCCCAGGCCTGTCTGGTGTACTTCCTGGCGCCCCACTGCTCGAGGCCTAGAGAGGGCACGGGCCTGTGGCTTCTTAAGTCCTGGGACTTCCTACCTTTCCCCAGTATCCCAGATATGCAGCTGGGAATACGTGGGTGCTTGGCCACTGCGGACTTTGTGAATGAAAGAGAGAAGGGAGGAAAGATGTGAGGGGAAGGGAGGGAGGGGGAAGGGGGAGAAAACCTGCCTGCATCCCACGACTCTAACAGCTAGGACAGCTGTGCCTGGCATCATATAGTTGCTCCTGGTATCCTCAGGTGTTGGTTCCAGGACATCCATGGGTACCAAAATCCACAGATGCTAAAGTCTCTGATATAAATTGATGCAGTACTCTGCATATTAACCTCTATACTTTAAATCAAAAGTCACTGGATTACTTATAATGACCAGGCATGGTGGCTCACGCCTATAATTCCACCAGTTTGAAAGGTCAAGGTATGCAGATTACTTAAGGTCAGGAGTTTGAGACCATCCTGGCTAACTTGGCAAAACCCCATTTCTACTAAAAATAAAAAAAATTGGTTGGGTGCAGTGGCTCACGCTTGTAATCCCAGCACTTTGGGAAGCCGAGGCGGGCAGATCATCTGAGGTCAGGAGTTCGAGACAAGCCTGGCCAACATGGTGAAACTTTGTCTCTACTAAAAATACAAAAATTAGCCCGGTGTGGTGATAGGCACCTGTAATCCCAGCTACTCAGGAGGCTGAGGCAGGAGAATCACTTGAACCAACGAGGCAGAGGCTGCAGTGAGCCAAGATCGTGCCCCTGCACTCCAGCCTGGGTGACAGAGCTAGACTCTGTCTCAAAAAAAATAAAAATACAAAAATTACCTGGGTGTGGTGGTACACACCTGTAATCCCTGCTACTCAGGAGGAAGGCTGAGGCAGGAGAATGGGTTGAATCCCAGAGGAGGAGGCTGCAGTGAGCCAAGATGGCGCCACTGCGCTCCCAGCCTGGGTGAGACAGAGCAAGATTCCATCTCGAAAAGAATATGTGTGTGTGTGTGTATGTATATATACTTAATATAATGTAAATGCTAGATGAATGGTTGTTACATTATTTAGGGAATAATTAAAAGGTCTGTACATGTCCAGTAGAGATATGATTTTTTCCCAAATATTTTCTGTCTGTGGTTGGCTGAATCCACAGATCTGGAACCTGCGGATGCAGAAGGCTGGCTGTGCTAGGAGTCTTCGCCGTCCTTATTTTCTCTATTTTAATCCTTGAAAATATCAGCTAATGTAAGGCTCTGCCCCTAGCACTGTACTGTGTCACCTAGCTTATTTCTCATGGCAATCCTAAAGTGGGTATCACTGCTTTTCCCATTTTACAGATGAGGAAACAGACCTAGAGAAGTTAAGCAGTTAACCCGTCGCACACCTAATGTGTTCATTTCCCCATGCTGCCATAACGTTACCACAAACTCTGTGGCTTCAAACAGCACAAACTTATTACCCTACAGTTCTGAGGGTCAGAGTCTATAATGGGTCAGCCAGGTTGGGTTCATCCTCAATGTTCTAGGGCAGAGTCCATCCCTGGCCTTCTCCAACTTCTAGAGGCTGACAGCATTCCTTGGCCCACAGTCTCCCATCCCTCTAACCCTCCAACCTCTGCTTCCAGGCTCACTTCTCCTCTGACTCTAATTCCCCTCCCTCCCTTTTTTTTGTTTTTTGTTTTAGACGGAGTTTTGGTCTTCCCAGACTGAGTGCAATGTGCAATGTCGGTTCACTAGAGTCTCCACCTGACAGGTTCAAGCAATTCTCCTGCCTCAACTTCTGGAGTAGCTGGGATTACAGGCTCCCACCACTATGCCCAGCTATTTTTTTGTACTTTTAGTAGAGATGGAGTTTCACCATGTTGGCCAGGCTGGTCTCGAATTCTTGACCTCAGGTAATCCACCTGCATTGGCCTCCCATAGTGTTGGGATTACTGGTGTGGGTCACCATGCCTGACCCTTTTTTTTTTTTTTTTTTAAGGTAGAGTCTCACTGTTGCCCAGGCTAGAGTGCAATGGCGCAATCTCAGATTAGCCAGTCATGGTGGCACATGTCTGTAATCCCAGCTATTCGGGAGGCTGAAGCAGGAGAATCACTTGAACCTGGAGGCAGGGGTTGCAGTGAGCCATAATGGTGCCACTGCACTCAGCCTGGGCAACAGAGCCAGTCTCTACCTCAAAGAAAGAAAAACCACACACACAGTGTTACCTTAAGACCCAGCAATTCTGCTTATAGGTGAACTGGGGAAATTTCCCATGATTACTGAAAAAGGGCACTCAGGCCAGGCGCAGTGGCTCACGCCTGTAATCCTAGCACTTTGGGAGACCAAGGTGGGTGGATCACCCGAGGTCAAGAGTTCAAGACCAGCCTGGCCAACATGGTGAAACCCTGTCTCTACTAAAAATAAAAAAAAAATTAGCCGGGCATGGTGGCGTGGGCCTGTAGTCCTAGCTACTCGGGAGGCTGAGGCAGGATAATCACTTGAACCCGGGAGGCGGGGGTTGTAGTGAGCCGAGATCGCACCACTGCACTCCAGCCTGGGCGACAGAGCAAGACTCCATCTCAAAAAAAAAATAAAATTAGCCAGGCATGGTGTTGCACACCTGTAATCCAGCTACTTCAGAGGCTGAGGCAGGAGAATCGCTTGAACCTGGGAGGCAGAGGTTTCAGTGAGCCAAGATCGTGCCACTGCACTTCAGTCTGGGCAACAGAGCAAGACTCTGTCTACAAAACAAAACAAAACAAAACAAAACAAAAGCTTATCAGAGAGACGATAAGGGAGCAGTGAGGACCAAGGCAGTCTGGAAAGCACATGGCCCATTTAAAGAGGGCATCTCAAGTCAGCGCGATAATCTATAAGATACACTGGAAATCTAGATATTTCTGTAAACAAGAAAAGAGGCAGTAGTAAACAAGTTATCTTTGTGCTTCTAGAACGATGCCATGTGCAGAGTCAGGACTTGGTAAATATTTGTAAAGCAATCTCATAATGTTTTTGACACTGGCAACTTAAAACACATGGCACCAAGGATGGACACGGATGTCCCGCTAGCCAGCTGTGGGGTCCAGGTTTGCTCGTCCCAGCAGAGGGGTTGAGGGCGTGAGCTTGGAGGTGGAAGCCCAGCTGATGTGGGGGCCTCAGGCTCCTGGTTCTACGTGGGGTGGGGATCGTTGCTTTATTAGGCTAGGGTCATTAGAAGGATTAGAGGGGTAAGAGTTCCTACTCCTGCTGCAGAGAAGCCCCCAGGTGGGGGGGTCAGGAAGTGGGGGATGGAGCTCAAGATTCTTCGGTTAACTGTCACCCTCTCACCTCCCCCCTCACACACACCAGGCCCTTCCAGGACAAGGCAGCTCCTCAAAGCTCCACCAGGACCCACGTGCACCAGGTACCACACCACGCCGCTTCTCTCTTCCTGCCAGGAGGGCTCCCGCTCCGCTCCTTCCCAGCCATCTTCCCTGCCCGGCCTTGGTCTATCCCTCTCTCTCTGTATCTCTGTCACCTTCACGCCTGTGCCATCTTGCTCGCTCTCCACCTCTATCAACTCTGCTGTGTGTCTCCCTGGGGAAAGTAGGGGCGCCTCATCCTGAGCCCCCTGCCTTGTTCCCTGCTGGGACGGGAGCTACTTCATCCCACACACACTCCCTGTGACCCCTCCAGGATTCCAGCTGTCTGCAGACACCATTCCTGGACTCTGCCCAGCCCACCAGGCTTTGCTGGGGAAAGTGACCTGAGAGAATCACCTGGGCTGTAGGTAGGGACAGGGCAGACCGCTGGGGCTGGAGCCTCTCTGGATGGGGATGGAGGCACCCTGGAGAAACGGCTCCCCACATGCCCCTCACCACGCCCCTGGGACTATGGGCACTTAGGATACACCGGAGGCATGATGTGTGGAGGGGGTTGGCCAGCAGCCAAGCTCAAATTGGGGTTCAGATCTGAGGTTAGTGTGGGCTCCTCTGAGCCCCAGCGACCCCCTTCTCCCCACCCACCTGGTGACAGGCATCTGGAACCCTCGGCCCCCATGGACCCCCTGAGGCGCTCCCCCTCTCCCTGCTCATCCTCGAGGCCCTCCAGCCCCAGCACCCCACCCTGCGAGATGCTTGGTCCCGTGGGCATCGAGGCTGTGCTGGACCAGCTGAAGATCAAGGCTATGAAGATGGGCTTTGAGTTTAACATCATGGTGGTAGGTGAGTGAGAGGCGGGGCCCACCATGGGACAGAGCCACAGTGCTACCCTGCAGGCCTGGGCCTGTGGCCTCACCTTTGGCAGACTGTTGTCCCTCCCTGACTGTTAAGTGGGCCTAATAATGGCACCTCACAGGGATGTTGCCATTGAAAATTTGAGAAATGCTGAGTCATTAAAAGACAAAAATCTGCCTGAAGCGGTGGCTCATAATTATAAGCCAGGGCTTGGGGAGGCTGAGGCTGGTGAATCACTTGAGCTCAGGAGTTCGAGACTAGCTTGGGCAACAAGGCAGAATCCTGTGTCTACAAAAAGTACAAAAACGAGGACGGACATGGTGGCTCACGCCTGTAATTCCAGCACTTTGAAAGGTTGAGGCAGGGCTGGGCGCAGTGGCTCACTCCTGTAATCCCAGCACATTTGGAGGCCAGGAGGAGCAGCCTGGCCAACATGGTGAAACCCTGTCTCTACTAAAAATACAATTAGCTTGGCCGGGCAAGGTGGCTCATGCCTGTAATCCCAGCACTTTGGGAGGCTGAGGCAGGAAGATCACGAGGTCAGGAGATCAAGACCATCCTGGCTAACAAGGTGAAACCCCATCCCTACTAAAAATACAAAAAATTAGCACATGCCTGTAATTGCAGCTACTCGGGAGGCTGAGGCAGAGAATCGCTTGAATCCCAGGAGGCGGAGGTTGCAGTGAGCCGAGATCATGCCACCACACTCCAGCCTGGCAACAGAGCAAGACTCTGTCTCAAAAAAAAAAAAATAAATACAATTAGATGGGCGTGGTGGCCGGCGCCTCTAGTCCCAGCTACTCAGGAGGCTGAGGCAGGAGAATGGATTGAACTCAGGAGGCAGAGGTTGTAGTGAGCCAAGATCAGGCCAGTGCACTCCAGCCTGGGCAACAGAGCGAGACTTCAAAAAAAGAAAGAAAGAAAGGCCAAGACGGGAGGATCACTTGAGGTCAGGAGTTCAAAACCAGCCTGGCCAACACGTTAAAACCTCGTCTCTACTAAAAATACAAAATTAAGCCAGACGTGGCGGCAGGTACCTGTAATCCTAGCTACCTAGAAGGCTAAGGCAGGAGAATTGCTGGAACCTGGGTAGCAGAGGTTGCAGTGAGGTTGCTGGATTGCTCCACTGTACTCTAGTCTGGGCAACAGAGCAAGACTGAAGCAGAAGGATCCCTGAGGCCAGGAGTTCATGACCAGCCTAGGCAACACAGCAAGACCCATCTCTACAAAAAACTTTTTAAAATTCGCTAAGGATGGTGGTGTGCACCTGTAGTTCCAGCTACTTGCAGGGCTGTGGTGGGAGGATCATCTGAATCTGAAGTCAGAGGTTGCCGTGAGCTGAGATCACTTCAGCCTGGGTGAGAGTGAGACCCTGCCTTAAAAAAAAAAAAAAAAAAAAAGTATAAAAATTAGCCGAGCTCAGTGGCGTGCGCCTGCAGTCCCAGCTACTTGGGAGGCTGAGGTGGGAGGATGAGTAGAGCCTGGGAAGGTTAGGGCTGCCATGAACTGTGATTGCATCACTGCACTCCAGCCTGGGTGACAGACTGAGACCCTGTCTCCAAAAATAAAAAAGTAAAGAGTTAGAGAAAAACTGCCTAAAATGCCCACCCTAACTGCTGTCATGTGGTCGCCACTCCCAGGGCAGAGCGGGCTGGGCAAGTCCACCATGGTGAACACGCTGTTCAAGTCCAAAGTGTGGAAGTCAAACCCGCCAGGCTTGGGGGTGCCCACACCCCAGACGCTGCAGCTGCATTCAGTGACCCATGGTGAGTGAGCCCCTGCCCACACCCCACCCCACCCTACCTGCTCCCATCCCGGTCCAGCCTCTCCCAACTCCGCGCTCCCTCCACAGTCATTGAGGAGAAGGGTGTGAAGCTGAAGCTGACAGTGACCGACACGCCTGGCTTCGGGGACCAAATCAACAATGACAAGTGGTGGGTTCTTGAGGTTGGGGCTGAAGTCATGGCTGTCCCCTCCTGTCCCTGTCCCTGCCCCTCCAACCTTTGGGAAACACCCCAGACCTGGAACAGCCAGGCCCCATGTGCTCTTTTTTTTTTTTTGAGATTGAGTCTCCTTCTATTGCCTAGGCTGCAGTGAACAATCTCGGCTCAC